TGACAAGCTAATCGTTAAGAACATTAACCTCTAAAGAGGCATTATAGCACACGCTAAAATTGACTGAGAGCGAGAATGTTCACTTCGTAAAGTTAATGAAACAACCCTTTTAATGGATGGTGGGGCAGAATATAAAAACATGTCGATGTACAGCTTCTTTTAACTCGTGAATTGCGCGCATGCGCAAGAGCGAGTTATAGATACGATGTTGGGAACAGCATACGCTCGCTCGCTCGCTCGCTCGATTGGTCGATTTCTGTAAACTTTTTTTCGATTTTAGGCTTTTGAGTGCATTTGATAGTTTTTGGCGAGCAATAAACAAACGAAATGGCGACCTTTGTTGCTAAGAATAGTGGTGGGGTGAAAAAGAAGCCAATGATAATCTTAAAAGAGTGTTTTTTTTTCGTTTTAGTTTCAACAAGCGGCGCCAGCGACTGGCAGGCATGCAAGGATTCACACTGAAATAACAGAACAACCTTCGTTTTTCATAAAATTGTAATTCATAATCCTTGAAGTTGAAAACAATCCGAAGATTCATTGAAAATATCACTTACTGCGAAGCGCACGGAGTTTACATATGTTCAAAAGCTTTTTCTGTTATAGCGTGAGATTGAGGGCAAAATCGATCATTACGTTTCGTATCGTGTGTTTTTCCTGTGTGAATCAACAAAAGATGCCGGCGACTGACGAAATTACAAGTTAACACGAAAATCAAATAACACCTAAACAAACAATTTTAGCTACCGATTTTCAGTGAATTTTTAATGAACAATTTTCTTTTAAGTTTCAAGACAATTTGAAGATTCAAAATACGTATTACGTACTAAAATGCGAAAGTTATACACCACAAAATTGATAAATAGGCCTGAAATGAAATTCTATCTTGTTATTGATTATAAGTTACCTAGCACGTGACTAAAATCTACCCAGGCGGAGATCCAAAATGACGGTGGCTGTCTTGGCTTAGTTATATCACTAAAAACTCGTTCCCGTTTGTCTCATTGGATAAAGAGGGAATCGTTAATGTTTTCATTAAGACAGTATTGCCTTGATTTTCTAATTTTTACAATGATAGACAGTAAATTTCACTTTTCACCCACATTTACTTCCAACCTTTCCTTTTGAACCAGAAACAAAAATGATACGTTTAAAACACATGACATCATCCATCCCTGTCAAATGTAATAGCATAATCATTTCAATTGCAATGCCTTCTTATCCCAACGTTACTTTGTTTCTTTGCTACATTAGCGAACACTGAACTACTGCTTGTACTCTAGATACGACAATCAACCACAAAATTCCCTAAACCAGATAACATTAAACATAATCCAAAAAATCATGTGTCAATTCACGAGTTTGCTCATAGAGCACTTTGATTTTATCTTATGAAGAGTGAACATTTCATTTCAAGCAACAATGAAAGAGACTTTCATATGAAGATTTAAAAAAAACATACCGTGAGGAGCCCTCGTGTGCTGCTGACCATTTAGAACCCCTGTGTTTGTTCAAGTGGAAAAATGGCTATCTAAACTAAAAGCTGCCAAATGATGAGCTTTCAGGGAATCTTTTGAAACCCCCTTACTGATAAGGCTGCCAAACTTAGATCAAATCACAACAGTATAACAAAAATGAATGAATATAGCAACAAGCTCGAGCATGGAGTAATAAAACAAAAAAGAGACATAAAGTTTAAGCTATAAATAAAATGCAATGTCAGAATACGAAGGTATATTTATGTTCATAACACGCGTGTCATGACTTCATTGAAAAAAAAATATATCTTTCATAACTTAGGAAAAAATCATACTCCCCAAATCAGAGAGATTGCATAATCATAAACAATCACTTAGACCGTTGACCAACATCATCAACATGACCATTACATGTTTTTTTTCATACTTACAAGACAAACGATTCTTCGACGGAAGAAAAAACGAAAAATTTTCTTTGAGAGGCCATGCTATTATTGCGTGTATTATCCGGTATCTACCGATTGATTTTCGCTCCCGTCATGCATAGCGGCGCACCAGAATGCTAAGCTCAAACAATGTAGTTCAGAAAGCCAAGACAGTTTTGCGTTATTTTTTAAACTTCTCAGAGTGTTCCCACGTATTCTTCAACTATTCCACTGTCTTAGTTGCGATGCCGCAATCTGAGGAAGGGCCGTTTGTTAATTGTATGAATCGTTGCCTGTTTCTCTCTCTCGGCCCATGCAACTAAGGAGGAAAATGCAACTTCATGCTCTATAACAATTAAGTCATATCACGACTAGATTCAAAGGTCCACCACTTGATATATATATTGCACAAACCCGCCGTAACGAACTTCCAACTAGAAACGAAAGAACCTTCCGGTTAAGGAAATTCACATTTCAGATAAAACAAACGGGAGATGCGACTGGTTACAATGTCAAGTAAAATCAGCAATACAGCGTATTACCCCCACATTTCAGAGTAATTTATGATAGTCCTTCCCGGTTTCTTTGGATCTTAACTCCAGAGAAAATCTTACCAAAGATAACTTTATGTTCTTTTAATCTTGCCTAATCTAACCCTCTAAAGAGTCTCATTGAGAAACTTACGCAAAGACAGACATAAAAGAAAGATAGAGAGCGAAAGAGATGTCCCTGATTCAGATGACAGATAAATTTTTCAAATAGAAAGGAAAATTAACATTATATAAAAAATGTATTCTTAGTTAATTGTGGCAGTATTTTGTGCCATTCACTCTTGACGACATTATCAAAACTGTTACAGCAAGCCATTAAATACCGTCTTCAGTGAGTGCAGATTGCCCCTAGACACTCCCGTCACTAAGGTTAAACGTAAAGCTGTACACTGAGGTATCTTGAATCATTTTCGCAGAGTGAGCTCTTTCAATGAATTTCACTTGTTTCTCGCGACCTTTAGTGACATAGTTCTCTCTTGAAAGTTCTCACGTTGATAGTTCACCAAAAGGTGAAGCGCTGTGGCATATTTCTCGTCTGGTGAACTACACCACATACTTCTTTCTTCACTTCGCTTTAGTTTTCCATTCATACGGCCCTATTATTCATTCTTCCCGAAATATTCCCCAAGAAAACCCCTGAATTCGACTAACTGCGACCGCTGCTATTCAACAAACTTTTCAAGGGGTTCCTTTTTTGCGGCGGAGGGCAATTTGCTGACGACTGTTGGTTTGTGAAATATTTGAGGATTTGTTAAAAAAAAAAAAAAACGAGGAGAAAAACAAGACGATCACGAAAATTAAAAAAATAATAAAGATAAAAAATAACGAGTGATAGACGTGTGTGGGTTCCACCACTTTTTAGCAGCAGAAATTGCAGTTAAAATTTAATTTTTATCTGAAACCTGTTTTGAGAGTGACTGCTATTCAACTTTTGCAATTTATTTCAAGATAGAGACAATGGCTTAGGTATCTGAGCGGTTTTCCTAAACGATGTTAAACTGGTAGACATCGCAATCGCAAATATCTTTGCTGCGCCTTTACGACCAGAGTAAAGCTCCTGACGTCCTAGAATGTAACCCTAGGAAAATCCATTTTAAAGTAATATCCATCTATCTACTCAGGCACGTCAAATAACAGGATTATTTATGCCATGTTAAATACCTCTGAGAAAAAATGGGAAAATTAAGAAGCTTCCTTCACCAGCGTAATTCATTATGCCTCAAATGCGTTCAAATTTTCTCGGGGTGACAATAAAAGAAAAAAACTTGAAATCACTAAGTGAAAACTTAACTACCAAATTTACATTTAATAATATGGTACCCAGATCCCTCTGTGTCTCCAGCTTCAAATGGGTTCAATTGTCCGATGTCCTTATATTGAAACCTGAGCAAAATAGCCTACGGTATTCGCGAAATAATACAATGTATGTGAGACTAAAAAGCCCCCTTCGAAATCCGCTACCCCCGCCGGCTTCCAGCAATTCCGCCACCCACATTTGAAATATTATGAAATAACTCCTAGATGAATCTCATCAATCAATTCACTAAAAAGGAGTTCGGAATTGAATTTCATAGGCGCCAATTCAGAGACGTCGCGAACAAGAGAAAAATTCATTAGCATTCAGTCAAACTGTTGACTACGACGATCCAAATTTTACGGATATCAATTCAGAAAGTAATGGGATTGCACTGAAGTGTTTCAAATTGTGTGCGGTAAGGCAATAAGACAACAGTCACCAAAGATTAAAACGATTCAAAGTCTAAGAAAGACTGAAAGACATCGTCAGGTAGTTCCATGCAACAAACTTAAAACATTCAAACACGATAAACAAATCACATATAATTGTAATGACTCCTAGTCGAAACCAAATTTAAATCAGGAAATCGTTGAAGTGTCACATGTTTGTGCACGTACTGAGAGTATTTCAAAACACTACAAAACAAAGGGAAAGAATCTAAGTAAACGTTAGGAAACTACTGGTATTATTAAAAGTAATGTTGCAGTGATTATGCATCAACAGTGATGTTTGAGAATGATTTCTTACACGGGTTAATTAGAATTTTCATAATAAAATCGCTTCGAATGTTCCTGTTTGCAAAACCACAAAGTGGCTGATTCACTTTTGTTGAAAGAAATTATGGCTTTGGGGTGCCATAAATTTCCCAAGGCGCATTCTTAATTCGCTTTGGACAAGTCTGGAATTTAGCCAAAATTTAGTCTCAGTGTGCGGTCACAGTCGTAATTATGTGGCGGATTACGGTCAAAATATTATCGTGCGCTTGCGAAAAATTATAGCTTTATCACACAGTTTTAGGATTATGTCTGTTCGGTGGTGGTTTTATAAACAGAGTTAATGGGCTCAGAAACCTGAGTAGCTATTTCATTTTCCGTACAGCCCGCCCTCTAAACTTCTTTCAGGAAAACCTGAAGAAGATTGAGTTTTAGGGCTAGAATAGTGGAACAGGGCATACTATGACAAAAGGCTAAGCTTCAAAGACAAACTGCTTATTAACGTCGAAACTCAGCCAGGTTATTGAAAGCGATTAAATTACAAAAAATATATCCTGTAACCCTTGTGAGGAGAAATACAATTATCGTGTTAAAAAATACTGCAGAATGTGCAAAGTACTCTAAGAAGAACGATTTCGGTTTCGATATTGCCGAGAAAACTAAAGCGGCTTATACGGTCTGATAAAAAAAAGAGAAGGCGTCTTACGGAATGTTCTACTCCCTGCAAATATGCTAATTTTGAAAAAGCAATATTATTTACCGGACACGCTTTGACAAGCCGACAAGGGTCATCAAGCAAACCGAAATAAAAATAGCAAGCAAACACGCTCCCATGGCCTTTCACGAGAAAATTCTTTTGTTGCACAGGTGATGAGAAGACAAATTAAGTTAACTTACATTTTAAAACAGAAAAGAAAACGACCACAGTAAGGCTCACCATTTACATATGATTACGACGTTTACACCTTAAGCTTCCTTGGTGATAAAGGTCACTTAAAATCTACATCAGATGATTGCATTCAGATGTCAAAGGAGTGACTAAGCTCCCGCGTGGCGTATGCTTGCTCTTGCATCATACACTGAGTCGTGTCCTCTCGTAATTACGTGATGACGCAAGTTCACTTTATGGAGGCTCCATGAGGTTTTTGCTCAATATTGGCTCGCACACCAGAGTATTGTTCCTCAAGAAAACTTTTGTATGTTTTCGCTTTCCAGGTCACTAAAAGCCATCAAAAAGGCGGTGAGCAACATTTGGACCATGGAGCAGAGGGTATTCGACGCTTAAATCTACGAGAGAAATTCAGAAGACCAGAGAAGGATTATGGATGCTCTTATCAATGAACGACAGCCGCCGGGACGGTGTAAAACTTTGTCGCAAGAAATTAAAGCGCCAAGAAAGAGTCAAATGAAGGATGGATTAACAGAACGAATTCCACAAGGAAATTTACAACGGAAGTATGAATACAAACGAACAAGCTCAAAATCGTTTCCCACCTTTCATCCCCCTTCCCCCCTCTAGCTCCCCCACTCGTCGGCACCCAGATGGCTCCGTAAGTCGTATACGGGGCCCGTATCGGTGGGCATTACTTCACGAATACTTGTCACAACCTAAGACGCCATCTTGGAAATGCGAAGAGAACATAAAGGAGTTCGGGAGGGAAGCCGAAATCTCGCCCTCTACAAAAACCTCCAATGAGTCATTCCCATTCAGAAGAACGGACTTTTGAGGTAAGTAAAAGACTAATTGCTGCAACAAAAGAGCATAGGGCAAAGCACACGAAAACAAGCACATAGGAAACTGAGGAACCCAAAGTTACTGCAGATTTTTAGCAACGGCTAAGATTCAGGTATCTCGTTGAACTAAAGATGCGCTCACTTTACAATATCAAATCATATATTTATCATTCATGGGAGTAGTTGGTGCGCTATAGGTAATTCTCTTTGAACTTCAAATCCATGTATATTTGTATAGACAGGATTGTTATGTATAGAGCGCAAGAATGTCTTGGTGTAAAGGGCATTAAACTTTGTTAACGCTCGACTTACTGTTTGTGACTACTTTAATATCAATGTCATTTTTACATCAAACGGGGTAAATTATAATGAGAAAATTAAAATAAGTCAGCATTCTAGGAACTTGCGGTCTGCATCTAAGCAGCCGTTGGAAAAACCTCCACCATTAACGAAAAATTGCGGGATAAAGGCTTTTCAGTGTGAGCCCCTAAACTGTGGAAGTCACTACCATTCGACTTGGGCAAGTCACCATCTTTAACTGGTTTTAGGAAATTTGAGCCAATTCTTGGAGAGTAGGTCAATGTGTTTGTCGAACGATATCAATACTTGTCATGCATCTTATATCGATACTTATGAAATGTAGCATAAATTGTTATGGCATAAGTTTTAAAAGTAGGACTAACTTAGATTGATTGTAAAAAGATTTTAATTTATTTTATTTCATGCCTTTGATATTGAGAAGTGCTATGAGCTCAGGATGTAAGCGCTATAGAAATAAAGTAATTATTATTATCATTACTTTTATTGTTATTGTTATTACTATTATTATTATTATTATTATTATTATATGTTATTATGATTATTATTGCTTTAAAATAGTGTATACCTGAAAGTATGATAATATATCGTTGTATGAACAGTGTGTTCCAGAAATCATGATTCAGCTACATCAAGCTTTGTGCAAGCTAGTGGCGGCATTGATGGAGTACTTGGACATGACTTCTTCTGAGGGAGTTGGATATCAAGCTAGGAGGTAATTAAAGAGATATTTGGCATACAAAAATGGCTTTACATTAAAAATCAGCACGTTCAGCGAGGTTTGACTGGTAATAGTCTCAATTATGACTACAAATGTCCGTTATTTCATGTTAGTGTATGGAGCCGTTGTTTTTGGCAACTTCAATGTCAAACTCATGCACATCCTTAAGTTAAGCGTTTTCCCTGATAAATGATGGCATTAAATCATAATGAAATATTAGGAGATTGGCCTAATTTTCATGAGTTTAAATGTCACTAATGGAGAAATGCAGTAAATTAGTGTTCAGAGACCGTTTTGTGACTGCATGCAAAGGCCACGCTTTTAACTCGCAAACAAATTCAACCAAGAATTATTGTTATTATTCCTGACAGGGAAGAAAATAGTAAAAGATGGAGAAACCTCGATTGGGTAAGTGTTTGCCTAATTAATTTAGGTACATTGATTCTTCAGAGAATTGCAGAGGGGCACAGGTTGTGGACAGTACCTTCGATAGCCTCTGGGGTTTTTATAGAAACTCATCTTTCCAACAAAGGGATCCAAGGAAAAAGATGTGTAATGAGAACTTTTAGTCCTTTTCACGAAGAACTAACGCAATATGCAAGCAATCTACCACAAAAACTAAAAAAGCCTGAGAGCTTTCCCAAAACAAAAAAAAGGCAAAACCAAAGATGTCCAACAATTGTACAGTAGGTCTGCAGTAGATATTTTTCAAGCTACAGGGCGTGTCTAAAACTGTTAGTTGTTGGCATAGCTATCGGTGTGTTGGTTGTAATTGCAGGAAATGATTTCACAGAGGAATAACATGCTCAAATCTCAACTCTTCTATTGAACAATTATACGGGACGTGGAAAATTGTAACGCTGAGTGAGCGTTAGTGCTAGTTGTTTAATGTAAGGGAAGTTAAAACCTTAAGCTTTTGTAAGAACTCAGTCTTATCTACTTCGACTTTGTAGGAAAAGCCAGAAGAAGTAATCAAATCTTTTATCATGTGCCTACGACAACAGAACAAAATACTGCGAGTAAGTTTTAAAATAGAACTTGTAATCTCGTTATTAACAAAACAAATCGAACAAGTACAAGTCAAAATTAAATTCTTTCACTTATATTTCCCTGCAGGAGGATTTTAGCCAAGAAAGAAAGAATTTATCAAACCTTGCCAAACACCTTTGGAAATATCTCCTTTTAGACAATTCAACAAGAATAAGAGCATTTTCAAGGTAAATTAACATTTGTGCTCAGCCTCATTTAGCACTCTTATCAAGAATTCAAGGCAAATATGCCGGGAGGTTGCATACAAAGTGCTGGAAAAAATGTGTGTGATCTAAAGTATGTTTTCTTTGATGTTGTAGTATGTACCGTGACGGAGTATGGAGACAATTCGCCATGGTAAGTAGAGCCAAAAGTAATAAAATAACCACCAATAATAGAGATGAATGGGGCAAAAAATTACTCTACATAATTATGAAGCATAGAATTTGTTAAATCATAAACAAAACAGAAACATTGGATAACATTGCAATGCTTAAATTTCCTAGGTTTTTTCAGGCAAGCATAGTAATTAGAGGCAGTCTCATAGATTCCCTCAACCATTTCCTGATATTCCAAGCGAATGTTTTAATACAAAAGTTGCTTAAAATGGAACGAGCACTATTTTACTAGATATTCCAGTAAGGCAGAACTAAAGATTGATCAACTTGTGTCAAACCTCGAAAACTGATGTTTTTGCAAATGTCTTGCTGTCTAATTTACAGCGATATGGGACAACGTTTGAGGAAAGAATACAACACTTGCTGCAATTCTTTACGGTGTTTGCCTCAAAGTTGAAACCACAGGCCTCGCAGTTAACAAGGTAATTAACAGAATTATCCAATAGGCGGGGCATTAAAAACTTATTCACTAGATGACAATCACACAAGGATCATCCAGTACTAAGTACTATACTGAGTATTAAATTATGACAAAGTAGAATACAAGACTTGCAGAGTATAGAGTTATCCCCTCCATTTTTTTACGTGCCTAGCCACAACAAAGGCAGCAAAATTTTATATAAAGCTGACGTTATTTTGCCACCCACCCAAATAAATTTCTTGATTGGCATTGGTGATTGAATGGTACCACATGACCAGCATAATGTTTTGCATATGGCTACTCCATTGTAAGGCAAGTTAAGATGTAGTTGTAAGAAATAGGAAGCAGTTGGTGAAAGCTCCTCTGGTCTCTGACCTTTACTATTTTCAAAATTATAGTGGAAACCGACCAGACAATTCGTAACTCGCTGTCTCCTATATTTCATAGAGAAATTAATTTAGAAGCTGTCTAAAAATACATGAGAAAATAGGAAGTCTAATAGGAAGACCCCTTGCCGCCTAAATGGGATAAAGAGCAATATGGAAAGACTCTGGAAAATGTGGCAACATCTCTACAACTCTCTCAGCTTATTAGGAGAGCTGGACACTGATCCTTCCATTTGGAATCACAATAATACATGTGCGGCTCCCACAAAAATCCAGACTCAAAAACCCACTTTGCCTGTACTAATGCACCAACTCTATGTCTGTGGTTTCTGGTTGAGCTAATTATGAAATACTGGTAGCACATCTCTGTGTGGTGTAGCAAACCATAGAGCATGATCGGAAGTTAGAATGACTTTCTTATTGAGGACACCATGACCATTGGTTGGGACAACATTTGCATTTGGAATAAAATTTACGTTTCCATTATTTTAAACTCTCTACGGCCACTCTCAGTGATTCCTTAACTAATTGGATGCAGGTTCCTTTCCCCCTCACACAATCAAGTTATCTCAGAGGCTTAAAAATGTATCAACAATTGTGGCAGGATCCTGACTTTCCCTTGTGAAGATATGACAATCTCTCGTAATGCAACATTATGACCTCACCCTAGTTTTTTTTTGGTTTGTTTGTGCAGATCTGATGATGATATCAACCTGGAAAAATATGGGATTCTAAATGAATATTCGGTGAGTTAATGTCATTGTAGATAAAACTCAACTCACTGTCATGTTATGTCAAGTATGTCTATTAAAAAAAACCTTTGGGTTACTTTCCCCACTCTCTCCACTCCAAATAATGAGACTTATCAGATTCCAAAGAATAATCTCTTATCAAAATAACAAATGTATTAGAAAATCCATGGCCTTTACGCACATTATAGGTTTGCATATGCATCAAGGACAAGGAAACAATTGTAAAGCTCAGTAATGTCCTAATCACAGTAAAATGTAACCTTTTCCGAAACAAGACACTGAGACAACAAATAGGTAACACTTCCATGTGTTGTTTGATCCACAGGAGTCGCTGTAATCAGCTGCTGCATTGGACTATTCCAGCAATTGAATACAAAAGGGTGAAAAAAGAGAGTTAATGTAACTTAATTCAAATGTTTAAAAAACTCCATGTAACCCAATTCTAAAATCGGAATAGTCCATACGATTTACCTTGCTGGGCTGCTTGATTCTAAACTGGTAATTGATTTATATGACAAGCTGCAACAGTTGGATTGTTCGGGGCATTTCATATTTAGTTTTGTACTGATTTAATGACATTGAATACTTTTACAGTAGAGAAAATTATTTAATATGGCAAAACGAGTAAAATGTTCAGACATTCGTAAAATAATTCGATGAAAGGGTTAAGAACTGCCGAAACTCTTTTGGAAGAAAGAAGAGGTAGCTGTGACCTTTTGCCATCAAACTATCTAGAACTTGTCTTCGCTTCATTTATCATCAAAGAGGATAACAAATGTTTTGGAGGTCTGATCACATTTGTGATTTTAGTTTCTCAGTTTTCCCAGTTAAATTTAAAAAGGCTGGCAATAAAGATGTTTGAAGTATTGCTAGTCACCTTAGTGGTAGTCTCACCACAGTTGGAAAATTTCTACTTTCCAAAAGTTGAAAAAAAGTTGAATTAAGGTTAAACCTTAGCAATAACTGAAGCCAGTTATTTAATAATCAGACTATATTTTATACTCTACATATGGATGGCTTGATCTATATGTGTACAAAGCACATATTTCAGTTTCTTTAATTTTCAGTATAGATACAAAGCGTAATAAACATCACCTTCACTTTAGCGATGTACCTATACAGTGAAAGTCTATTATCTTATTGATGTAACTTATCAATTCTGAACTGTTTGAGGATATTTTCTTGGTTAATATAAGTATATTTGCTGGTCATATCTTAATAACTTTCCTAATGATGCGTTTTGTAATAAATGAATAAACAAAGAAATAGATGAGTTCAGATTTTGGAGAAGATACCACTTGCTTTTCAGTCACACGTATAAGTATCCTAAAAGAGACGATTTCGGCTTGAAGCTTCTTTGGCACCGCAGGGTCGTTGATAGACCGATCAGTTTGGCCTTTACAACAGTTTTTTAAGTCGGGGGGGGGGGGACTATCTTCTTTCTTTGGACAGAATGAAGTCATTCGCGATCAGGATGCGCGTTAATACCCCCAGTAATTGTTGTTTTAGGGGATTCTGAAAAAATGTTGCTCACGATAACAAAGTGGAGGGTAGTCAAAGAGGTTCTAAACTGTAGAAATGAATCACTTACCGTTCCATGGTTCTTGATGTTGTTTAATCTCTCGCTTCTCTTTGTGGGTGCACACTTGAGAATCGGAGGAGTGGGACGAGTACCCTGAGCGGAAGTCAAAAGGAGGTAAGAAAATATTACTTTCACTTAATTTTCCTCCCGTTAGAATGCATTTGCATATGCATTAAAAGGACAGCTTACATATGTAAAAGTTTTCAATTTGTTATGTGTTCTTCGAGTATCCTGCAAGCATATCGTTCAAGCAGCAAATGACAAAGGGAGGATTGGAACAAAGGGTTGGAAAGGGGCATAGCTTCAGTATCCAGAACACTGTCAATATATTTCGCAAACTCGTTTGGGCTGAGGTTCAGCCTTTTCTTTCAGTGATGTTTCTGCACCCGCTTTGATCATCCATTTCGTAGAGAATTTTACACAAGCATGCTAAAAATCCACTCTGATCAAACGAAATGGTTGGAGCACTGATCATGCAGATGAGAACTACATAGATATTTATCGTCTATCATGCTAAGTAGGCTATGTGTTCGTTAAGCGAACTTTAATTTCTCACGTGTATTTGCGTCTACAAACCATTGCGCGTTTCACAAAAAAGTGCCTTCTTCTGTGAGTCACTTTGCAAGGCAGGAGGATAACAGAACTAACCTAGTGCGTAGGAGCTACCCTAATGGGTTACTATTGTCATTTTCATCATCATCATCATCATCATCATCATCACTGTCATCTGTTCCATTCGTGCAATGGGTCACCTGAGATACGAACGCAGTACAATTCCTCAGCCGCATAAACGAGGAAGTGATTTCAAGATAAACGTTGCGGCCCAAAACGCCTGTCACTATCAAAACCAATATAAAAAGAGGCAACCTCGTGCTCGACAAGAGAAGTCTCACGTCATATTTCAATGGCCTTGTCCTACCGCACCTCGATTATACAGATATTGTCTGGGGAGATCAGGCAGGTCTTACAACACGGATGAAACAGTTGCAATCTTTTCAAAATCGTTTTGCAATAAAGATTGTAAAGGCAAAAGTGAAAACAGATGAGTCTCTGACATTGGCGCGGTGGGCCTCACTGCATGCCAGACGTTTCGGTCGTCTATGTTGTTTTGTACAAGATGTATTGAAGGGTGTGATCCCTGAAAAACCCCGATGTGTTAAGTTCTACAATGAGCCAACAGCACGGTTACAACACCCGAAATTGTTACATGCCCAAAGTGAGCAGGCCGAGAACGGAGTGAGACAGAAACAAGACATATTATAAAGCAATTAACAATTGGACCCTACCGTCGAGTGAGCTCAAGAGACTGATGCCAAAAACGATTTTGAACACAATTTGAAACTTTTTCTATTTAATTATTTTAACCCCTAGTAATTATTTTTAATCTTAGTTCTTAGCTTTAAACTTTAGATTGCAGTCTTAGTCCTTTTTTTTTTAATTTTTTTATGAGGACCCTCCTGAAAATCACCTTCGGGTAATTAGCGGCCTGCTCTTAAAATATTATTTATTATTATTATTTTTTAAACCCATGCCCCCCATATACCCCCCTCTGTAGTACCCTCATTGGACTGAGGGTACTGCACTTTCTTTTCATCTGCGAGGACTAATTTCTACTGATCAAGAGCACGAGTTAATACTTTGTACAAATTTTCAAGCCGAACGATATTTATTTATTGTGGAATTTTACCAAAGGATAGAATTTTGTCGGTGTTTACCTCTTATTGACCCGCAGGTATGGCACGTTTGTCGCAGGCGTAAAAGTTGATCAACATCGCAATAAAGCCCAAGGAATTTATTTTATAGCCACAACTTGTTACTGGGAAATTCAGCTGTCATATCTAACGGTTTTAATTTTTGTAAAAGAAAATGGTTTCTCGGTCGGGGAGGTATTTCAGTTTTTTGCTTATCATCAAAATCTCGTAGCCAACATAAAATAAGTTTCAAAATCAGTGGGGCAACAAAAAGTTAGCCTACGTGTAGCCGTACCCTCCCCCGCAAAGTGAAACGGAAGGGAGGGCACGAGCAAAATGCAGTTCCCGACGAATGAAAGTGATATTTTCAGACTGAGATACTAAAGAAAATATATAACCCTAGAACCTTTGTTTCCTAGATAGGTGACAGTAAAACTACATTCATTAACTACATTAAATTAAGTTCATTTTCTTAACGGTTAACGGAAATCGCACTCCTTCATCTTATCTGCAATGAACTGACTTGACACACCGATGGACGGAAATATCAAACTAAGGCGTCACTAACAACTTGAATAGCTGCAGCGGGAAAAATAAAGAAATATAGACAGAAAAAACTTTACCGTGTCGCTCTAGACAACTCTTGGTAACGCCACGAAATATGAGAAAGTGCCAATCTCAAAGCACTGAAAAAGGTTCCCTGTAATTGTACGACAAAGGAAATTACTGCAACACTTCAACGTGTAAGGATATCTGACATGGTTAAAAACGGAACGGATCAAATGTACTTGTGATTATCAGCCGTGATGGAAACGGTAATAGTTGAACAAAGAAATTAACGGAAGTATTGTATTGGCTGAGAAACGAATATGATTAATGCCATGTTGTCGTCACGCACATGTGGTAATGTTTGGTTAAGGACAATAACTCAAGGTGGCGCCATAAAATTGGAACACAATACAGTCAAGACAACAAAGAAAGCGAGATTCCTTAAAATTATCAACCACAAATTTCGATAACCAGGCGTTTTGACCATTTAGTGTTATCAAGGTCCCTATATTAGTCAAAAAAGTAAGATAAAACAATGCACGTCTCTATCACAAACGTGAGGTGAAATTTGGAGTGAGATAAAAAACGCAGAATGTACTCTATCCTATGGAACGGTTATAGCTCGCGCCAAGGTACAAAATGCAAACGTCAAACTATTTGCATTCGCATATAAAGGTAGAGGGCATGTAAAGCGATTTAGCGAGGTTCGTAGTCCGTAGTACATGTTTTGAACTGACCAAAACCTGTCCGAAACGTCACATGTAATCGTATTTTCCATTAGAGACAAACAGCAAATAAATATGGCTCATTGCGTTCGCATGTATTATAATAAGTTCGGAATCATTACGTGATAGTGAAGGGAAGCCACACATGAAACCAAAAGGCTTCGCGCTCCCAACTACTTCCCTATCCATTGTGACGTCACCAAGAACAGGAAATGAAAAACCCTGTCGAAAGCAAATTGGACCAGATAGGATCGAAATAAAATTAGAAACAAGAAAGGAGTCAATTAAACAATGCAACTCTGATCTTAGCGGTCCCAGACAAGGGCAAACTACGTTATTGAAGAGCGTGTTTGAAAACCTGCTGGTCCTTTTTTATAGTATCATGTTCATGTAGCGGAATAGAGGAAAAAATTAAATAGAGAGAGTTAAAATTAAAAAGAAAAAAAATAGAATTAAATAGAAAAAATAAAGAAAACATTAAATAAAGGAGCATGCGCGATAAATGAAGCCGGATATTGAAACCAAAATGTTTCATCATTCGGCAGCAATCGACAAGAAAACTCTGAATGGAATGATTAAATGAATGATCTGGAATGATTAAAGCCAAACGTCTCCTGCTTACTCTGAAAAAGAGCTACATCGAGTTACACAAATATCTATTTCATAATAGCCATTAAGTCTTCAGCTAGTTCTCGATCTAACTAAAATTCAAGTGAATAATAATATATCAAAGGGCACTGATGTTTACCCACAATAGCTAAATGCAAGTGTGATAAATTTCACTCATCGTAAACAGTATGGCTGAGTATACGAATGAAAATCTGGTACGATAAGAAATGTACAAAACTATCGGCCTTCGAGAAAATGTGTTAACGCCGTCTAGCTATAGAAAGACAGATGTATAAATAAACAAAAAGAATTAAACTTACGTTTATATTCATACTTGTGTTATATCTTAATTCCTGGGGCAGAGATCCATAAATTATCGATAAAAGGACATCTCTTCCTTCATGAAGCCCAAAAGCATCGAAGCATTGTAGCGTGCGAAACAAATTATGTAAATGAAGCCCTATTTCTTTATCTAACACGTGGTCATAAGATAGCTACGGCCAGCGGTAGCTTCATGAAGTAAACGTATAAATTACCTTGTGGACATGAGTAAGCGCATATTTTAAGTTTCTCAAAGATACCTTGGTCCGTTTTCTGCGTACATTTGTGAATATAGTGAAACTTATTGTAACGGATGTAACTCAACCATCGAAACGGAAATTTGTCATTTTTAGGTATGTATGTCTTATAAACTGATTTCCCTCTACGAACAGGAATTGTGTTTCCTTTAATATCTCCCGACCGACAACTAAGGGCGTGCAGTACGTCACGCACCGTGGATACGGTGCCTTCGACAATTAAGGATTCTACCCAATTCTGTATTTATGATGTTTTACATAAAAACACGACAGAGCAATAGCATGTTAATAGGCAACATTCTCGCATGACGAATAACCCATACAAATTGGATTAAACTTTAAAAATATCCGGATAAGTTTACGGCACTACAGCACACAATCCATGTGCGACTTACACCAATTGCCATGTAATGCCTATTTTTTTTTTTGTTAACGATGTTATATAGGTGTCTGTTTAATCCTTGGAAATAGAACTTATCAATCTTAAGTCTCAGTAACTTGGCCTTCTAGCCTACGTGTAGCCGTACCCTCCCCCGCAAGATGGTGAACAGGATGCTTTCATGGTCAACTTTCAGACAACAGTGATCTACGACGAGGTTTTTTAAGGGAAGTTTGCGCGACTTTTAGAACAGAGAACTTTTAGGGATCGAGAAATTTTTTCGACGACATTTCAAGAAGAACAGCAGAAAGCCATAGATATGGTTTTCGAAGGTAACAATGTCTCCGTTTAGTTAACAACTGGCTATGGAAAATCTGTAATATATCAAGCAGCGCAAGTTATCGGTCGCCTCTCTTCTCTGGGAACTGGTCACTATGTTTGTAGAGCCACCCGTTAAAGCTCTCACAAGACACCAGCTGCATTATCTCAATGGACTTGGGCCAGAAGTATTATCTGCCTTCAACTTTCGGTCTCTCTGCGAACGGTGTTGCGAATCTATTAGATTAAAGCTAGTTGTTTCTGCAGCGATTCTTTCGACACAGAAAAGATTCGCTCTTTCTTTACACTTGTAGTATAACTATCACTTAGAGAAATCTGTAAACCTTGAGATTCTGCGGTAAATGATCCAACCTTTTTCGACAACCATGGCTCGGTTTACAATTGCAAGCATAACTCGCGTGGACGTTTAAATCTAGTTTCGTAAGTGCGATGCTAATCGAACATCGTCCTCTTCTTACTCTAAACCAAAAATCCCTCATAATCTTTTTCTATGTCCTTGAACTAAAGTACATATATAAATGTGGATGCTGAATTTCAATTTTACCCGAAAAATGGGAAATGAATTCACTCCAGTAGTGTTGGTTATCTCGATTACCTATCATGTTAGCAAGTGCCACTTCGCAAAAGATATTATCCAGTTACATAATTTTGCATAGGTTAGAGTGACGTCACAGAACACGATTGGTGTCAGGTCGTGGACGTTCCGTTCACGTAGGCTAACTGGTGTCCCAAGCTCGAGCCCTGAAAACATTCCTCTTTACTTCAGGGATGAGAGAAGAAAATTCATGCTATGAAAAAGGGGGAAGGGGATCCTTGTGCTTGTCACTGGGTGGGGGAGAGGGTCCTTGTGTTCTTCTCTGTGACAGGAAGCTGACGCACATGTTCCATTCTCGTTCAATACACTATACGCGTGCTAGCCGATCTGTGGACCAGATACATACCTAACTTTTAAAGGTATGTGTTCATATACGCTTTTTAATCACGGGGAGTATATATTTACATTTATCAAAATAGAAAGAGTAGTATAAAAACCCACTTGAAACTGTTCCAGTTTAATCTCAACGTTTCGGCCTTCGACCTTTTTCAGTTGGAACTCTTTCAGTAAAATCAAACACGCAAAATTTAAAAAGCTAAAAATCCAGTATTAAAGTTTGAAGAGTCCTGTGAAGTTACACCACATATAGAAATTTTTAAAAAAGTTATGTCATAATTTTACACAATATAATAAAGGAATAGGTAATAAGTGAATGGAATAGAACAAAACGGCGCATATATGTTACATATATAAGTAAGTATTTTTACAAATGCGATTTTAAGATCTATATTCGCGTCTTTAATGATCACCAGCAAAAAGCGAAGACAGCCCCTGAATAAAAAAGAGTGTTCCCTCTCACTGATAGCGTTTTTTTCCATCACTGCTTTTCCACTGCATCCAATGTTTCAACTGCTACTCCTCCTCTGGCATTTACCACCCCTTTAACTTCACCAGTTGCCTCAACAAGTAAAGAAAAGTTCTGTTTCTTTGTCGAGTTTACGCCCCAATTTTCCTAGTATACTATTGTTCACAATTGAATTACCTACATGGCTAGCATTCCTGATAAACCAGTTTGCAACTGTATACGTGGATTATACCCTTATAGTGGTACGTCCCTTAAGTATCGAGGCAGTTGTAGTTAGGAGATCGACGGAGATAGATCAGAGTTTTTATCACACAAGATTGTTCCAGTTACGTAACGTTGCAGTTTCCCTAAGCCTGTAAAGACAGGAGCAGCCTTAAGTTCCAGCTTATTGTATTTAGTTTCCTTTTCTTTTCGACTTCGCTTGTTTTGTAATAAGTCTCAGCCCATTTTTTGATCTTGTACATTACAATTTCCCTTTTTTAGTTTTCACCGCATGTGTAAGATAGCATTGGACGCTGTTGAATCCACTTGTGTTGTCGATTCCTACACTGTGGTTGACACTCCCCGAACTCCAATGCACAACACCCCGTGTCCGCTGCATTGGGTACGCGACAGTGAAAAGTCTGAGGATATCAACGTGTGGAGGTAAGCCCAGAGCTATCAAGGATGACAGAGCTATCAAGGATGACGAGCCTAGAAAAAGAATTGTTGAACGTATGCGTAGCTAGGAGGGAAAGGCCGACGAAACCAACGCGAAAGGCCCCACAAAACGCCATAGAGGCTAAACGGAGACAAATTTTCAAATCCCCAAATCACATAAAAGGCTCCTTAATGTTATGCAATCAGTAGAAGAGCTGAGTGATGACAGCCATGTAGAGATCACAGCGTGCGATCTTACGGTCGCTTCTGAGGATTTCGGAAGACTGTTGCATGAATTAATTGGCCTGTACGGACAAGAACCTTACGGCGATTACCTAGAAGAGGCTCAGCTCAAAGGAGAAAACGAGACCTTAAACCGAGCCCTTTTACTTTTAGACAGTTTAAAGAATAGAGTTACTAGACAATCCAACAAATTGTTGGAGACAAGATCTGTGCGTTCTCGTCATTCATCGCGTTATTCATCAGCCTTTAAAACTAGCAGCGCTATTACTAGACTGCAAGCGCTAGCCGACGCGAAAGCGGCAAGAGAAAGAACTCAATTTACACGGTTGATAGCAGAAAAGGAACTTGACCACAGGACACGCGAAGCAGAAACGCAGAAAAACAGGCAACAGGAAATGGTGCAGTTTGAAAGGGAAATAGCGATTCTAGGAGTAGACAAAAAGGCCGCGATGGCGAACGCCAAGCTTAAAGTTTTCGAAAAGGTTCTTCTGGAAGAACTAGGCAAGGATTTCGAGTAATCTGAGTTAGAAATCCCCAAAATTAAAGCGGAGGTACCTGGATCCGCCACAGCAACAATTTGCAAATGAGGAATATACAGTACAACAAAGTACAGCCCTCAATCGGCAACCCCTTATCCCTTCAACACCTAACCAACTAACTGACTCTCTTACCACCGTAAACAATCAAATAGTCGCGGGCCTTGCCAGACAAAATCTTCGTAAATGTCAACCTGACATATTCTCTGGAGACTCTACACTCTTCCATCCCTGGAAAACTGCTTTCAAAGCCATCCTAATGGACACCGACGTCTCCCCAACTCAGGAGATTAGCTATTTGAGGTGTTTTTCTTACGGATCGCCGCAACGCTTGATCGATAATTACCGGAGGCAGCAAATGCGCGACCCCGCTGCGTTACTAAAGGAGTTGTGGGAGGAACTAGGAAGGCGTTTTGGGGAGCGTGGCTATAATCAGTAACACATTGCTAGAGCGGCTAAGTAACACGACGACGCTCAGCGAACAAGAAAACGACAATTTACAACAGTTCGCGGATCTTTGCGCAGATATTGAGAGCCAGGTGACTTATCTTCCCGGACTTAAGTGCCTCAATTTCCCAAATGCTATCCAACCAATAGGCGAGAAATTACCTCACTTTATCCGCGCCAAATAAGAGAAGGAAATCGCCTAATCCGATAGCAATGGCGGAGCGTTTCCCCCTTTCTCTACATTCTCCAAAATGCTCCAGGAGCAGGCAAAAATCAAGAACGATCCAAACGTTCTAGCTGGTAAAGCAGCGATCACTGCCCAAGTTTCCTAGCTGAAGCCACGCAGAGAAAAGAGAACGCTTAAAACGGAGACTCGGGCCGTAGCTGGAAGGGATAGCGTTAGAAAAGAGAAGAGAGAAGACTCCCAAAAGAGCGACGCCAGGAAAAAACATTGTCCTTATCACCAAAGAGAGGGGCACGACCTGCACGAGTGTAAAACGCTCGCAGCGAAATCCGTAGAGGTACGCACCGAGCGGATCAAAGACACGCATCAATGCTTTCGCTTTTTCAGCCCTAACCACATCGCAGGCCGGCGTAACACGCCTCTACAGTGCACTATCTGTGGGAAAAAGCGCCACAGCATCCAATGTTTCAACTGCTGCTCCTCCTCTGGCATTTACCACCCCTTTAACTTCACCAGTTGCCTCAACATCCTCAAATATTAGCTGTACAACGCTGATCAGTGAAACACCTCTCACCACTGTCATTTCTTCCCTAAGCTTTACTCCACTGCAAGGCAACTCCTGTGTAGACTGCGTGCACAAGAAAAAAGTGAGAATTTTACAAAAACAAGTTAGGTTGAAGACCGCAGTGAAGGAAAAGAAAAAGGAAATTATTCTCTTGTACCTCCGCATCATGTAGAGAATCGTTGTTCACATTCAACATGCTTTACTACATTATTATGCTATTGTGAATTACTCAAACATACATGTTGAAAGGATTTGTCAGTCATGAAGACAATAACTTTTGAATTCCATCTGATGGCTTGCATTAAACAGAAGGCGGCTGAAACAGAAACTGAGAAATCTGACAGAGTATGAAGAAGATAAAAATGTGGCTTGGGGTAGGGATGGCAGGTGTGATTCCATGGGGCACTCTGCCAAATATGGAGTGTACATAATGTTTTGTACTACAACCGTGAAGGTTATCGAATGGAATAAGTTCAAGTGAGTTTTGTATGAATACTGGTTAACAGTATATACCACACAGATGAATAGTGCTTTTCATGTGCACTGATTGGCTAGTTGGAAGTGACTAGAAAATACCATTAACCTCCTTGCCGCTGAAGAGACAAACTCGCCTGTCAACAATATAATTTCCAACCATTTCTTGATTTATTGACAGAAATAAAATAATTTCTTCGGTTTCTGGGTTTTTCTGTAGTATATACTAAAACAGTTATGATATGGGTTCACTGAAATGGAATGATCCGAATGATAAAAATAATAATAATATTTATAATAATAATATTAATAATAATAATATTTATAATAATAATAATGATGATGATGATAACAATAACCCACGATTTGTATGGTATTTCCTAGTGGTTTGATAAGCTTTTACGTTCTTGTTTGTTTCAGTCGAATGAAACTGCACGCAGTCAACAGAGTGAACTGGAAGGTGTAAAGAGGTTTTTTCTTTTTGCAGCATTTTGGTTTGTCAATCGGTATTTTTGTGTTTGATAGGCACAGAGACATCGCAAGATGGATGAGAGAGAACTGTGTCAACACCACGCACTATTTTGATATATGGGTTGTGGCAAGATCTCAAGCAAAAAAGTTGTTGGCTTTGAGTTGAATGAAAGGGTGTGAAGTTGTGAATTAAGGGAATAAGAAAGCATCTCTACTGGTTTGCAACCTTAACAAAGGCTGGGTTACAACTCTTCATACCCCTTAGGCACATTACTTAATCCACTGTTCTCAACAAGCTAGACTTTTGACTAGTTTTTTCTATATTTACCTTAAACAGGAACTGAAGTATTTGACAAACTGAAACTGCTGTTGACCAAGAAAATATTACTGAATGACATAAAGAAACTTTCACCAGATGCCCAGACGAGTTGCCTTGAAGGCTTCCATGTGACCTTGAACTACTAGCATCCTAAAATGACTTGTTTTACTTGGCTGGGGACTCTCAGCAGGTATGCATGTCTTACAAATTAATTTTGGTAGTATAGTTATGCTTTTTCTTTTTTGATCGATCATTTTTTTAATCCTTTAAGTTGATAATGTAGATTGGCCACCATAGAGAGATCTAAAGCTTTCTTAGCTTTAAAACCACTTTACTGAGGCCAATCTACAAAATCAACTCAGTTAATAAAACCAAATTATTTTGTGATACTCCTCTACAGATACAAAACCAGTTTCATTGTAAACTTACCTCCTTTATTTCTGAGGGAGTCACATGTAAAAATTTCATGTTCATGTCTCTGACTTAATTAGAACAGTTTATCTATGGTTGGTGTTTCTTTCTTTTAAATGATTTCCAGTCATTTTTGTGTATGAATGTATAAAATGGACATGAATTTGCTCATCTCTATAACTTTTTTTAAAAGGCACATACTTGCAAGTTTGTGTTTCAACGAGAACCTACAGAGGGAAACACAAAGGAAATTTGATGGAAAAGAATACATTCGAATCACTTACCCAAAATTTAAAATAGGAGAGGAAGTTGTGCGAGAGGTGGCATGCCCACCTACCTATAGTAAGAATAAATATTACAACAGTGAATTAAGTCTTATTTAAAAGAAAGCAACTTGATTAATTTTGGAATACTTTGCTTTACTTGTCATATTCTCTGGTAAAACCCCGAAACTCTTTTGCAGAGTATTATTTCTAGTTTGGCATACCCTGAACCTGAACTATTTACATACCTATATATATATATTATATATATATATATTTTTTTTTATTATTTTTTTTTTCAAGGTTATGCTGATGGCTAGAAGAAAATTCTCTACACTTTTCCTAAAGAAAAGAGGGATGAAATAATCAAGAAGTATGTATCAAGAACACCTGAGCCCCTCAATCAGCAGTTTTCAAAAAGACTAGGCAAGGAGGAAGCTATAGAGGCATATAAGGCAAAAAAGAAAATGAAGAAAACAGCACTGCATCCAGCTGGTTAGTTTCTAGCTTTATGAATCCATTCATTTCAACCATACAAATTTAACATGAAATGAATACAATATTACAATGAAGTGTTAGTAAGTATGAATTATTTTATTTTCACCACCGACTGTGGGGGGCACCTTATTTATCTACAGGTGGTATCCTACTCTAAGTTTGATATGCCTGCAGATGGGCTTTGTTGTGAAATGTGAATTTTTTATTCCCAACTCAAGACGGGGGAGAATGAAGCATATTTGTATTCAATCTGAATTAAACTCTATTTGTCATAGGGCATATAAAATAACACACCTACACTGTAACTGTAACGATGCACTCACATACTACATAACTATTGTTATCCTATAGAATCGGAACAAAAAGGCTGATGGCAACAGTCAACCAAGCAGTAGTCAATTCACCTCTAGACGCCCCGCAAAAGCAAGAGGCCATCTCATGGTCAGAAGAAGAAAAGTAGTAAATAAAGTCACTCAGAGTTTTTTCCCTATATTAGCTGTCTCGTGGTCTTTATTATTATTTTTTTAAGTATGTACAAAATGACATAGCCAAGGGTTCAATGCTCCTCTCCATCCTAGACATTAGTATATCCCCTGTGTTGTCGTGTGTTGTATTTTTTCCTTATACTGTGATAAACACAAGCTCCCACAAAGCCACCTGGTTGTTCATCGATATGCAACGGCTCTGATGAACCTATATGTGCACATAAAAGTGAGAAATGAAGACGTGCTGTTCGGGTGATTACTAGACCTCCTTTCCTCACTGAATAACAAAAGACTCATGTCTTACGACTGGAGAATTCAAAATTTCAGATAAAACCACAAGTATCGCAACTATTTAGTTAAGCGACGAAAACAGGAATGACATATAACTACCTATATAAAAAAAAACCAAAAACCTTACTCGTTTTCTGACACTCCACTGCGGCGACGATAAGTTCCTCTATCTTGGCTTCTGAGGACAGGAGCGACTTGCAGAAGAACGGCACGGTTCGTAATGGCTTCGAAATATCTGTTAGGTAATGCAGTTGATTCGTTCGATCGAATCACCAAAAATAATCTTTGCAGATAAATTAGTGATTTCTCTGCAACATCGAAACCCGAGGGCACCGACTAACATTTCAGTATTACACTTCTCGCATTGGCACCTGGAAGAGGTAAAGGAAAAATTATCGGACAAACTTAGCAACGCACGAGCGCATATCAGCTCTGCTTATGCTTAAAGGAATCACTGTAAATCTTCCAACTCGCCATGAATCCACACTCACATTCCCTTCAAATCTAGACTCCAAAGTCGATGGGGTGAGTCCGTCAATATTTGTTTCTTCTTCATTTTCGTTCGAGCTTATTTCTTAGCCACAATCAGTAGGCGGTTCCTCTTGATATGAGATAATAACACCATCAATAAATCTTGCTTCGCTGTCAGAACTGTCACTTTGCTCCCAATCGAGATTCCCACGAGAGTCACACGATTCATTACTCCACGAGAATATTCCAAACTACCACGAGCTCCTCTACCGTCTTGGGAATGCAGGTTGTGTGGCTTACCCGGCCCCGAGTAATTCTCAGAACTCGATATGCAAATTCCATCGCCCGGCTCAAACATTGCAATATCGTTAGAAGCACTAACTCCAATGACAACCCACATCAGATCAGAGGACATCTCTGTCGCACATATAAACTTCCGTGGTCTATTCAACCATCTCATTGAAATGAAAGCGAAGTAGTCAGTGGCCAGTGGTCAACTGAGTTGACTTCTGGCGATTGCTGAAACGCATCTAAACGCTGACATCGCTGAAAATGAAATCTCAATCGATGGTTTTAAAGTTTTCCGTAAAGACAGACCCGATGGTGATGTTATGAATAAATACATGTCCGACGATATCGAAGCAATTTGGGCTGAACTCTTACTGAATTCACAGAGGCTATTTCTTAGATGTGCTTATCGACCTCCTGGTGACCTCCTCCTCTTCAATAAGTTTGAAAAGAAGCTAGACGGAATACAAACAACGAGGAAAAAGTTTGTCATAGTTGGTGACTTCAATTCTGACTTATTCAAGGTAAATAGAAATGAGGCAGCTAACCCATTGGAAAGAAGGTGCAATCCCATAGGTGCAGGAATTTAATAAAGAGACCAACCAGAGTCACTCAAACAACAAAATCAATCATCGACTTCATCATCTTCAACAATCTATTCAAAGGTGTCTTCGGGTGTCTTAGACCTCTGTGTGAAATTAAAACTAAAGGCTAAAGATCCTGGCTTCTCAATCAGAAAGGTGAGAAATTACAAGAACTTTGACAAGCAGTCGTTCCAAAGGGCACTACAAGAATCGCCGGATCGCCTCCATTTTCAACGACTTGAACGACGTCACTAACGCTTGGGATTTACTCTTCAAAGATATCCTCAACGCTCACATACCGACTCGTATGGCCAAAACTAGGAAAGTCATAGTCATCTTGCTGCTGAACTCTGTTCTTAAGCATATTTACAAGTGGTCGAAAAGAAACAGGCTCTCGATTCATTTAGGTTAGAGTAAAGTTATGTTAATTTCAACAACATCCTTTACTGACCCCTTGCAAGAACTTAGTTAAAACTCCAATAAAATGGAATTTGCCATGTCAACGTGCTACTTTGGTGTCAAAATTGACAGTACATTGTCTTTGTCGTGTTACATTGATGACCTATGTAAGAGCTACTCAAAGAAACTTGGAGCTTTGAAAAGAAAGTCTCGCCTTCCATCAAGAACAGTTGAGGAGATTTATTTTAAAACAGTTTTACCAGGAATCACATACTGCATCTCTGTTTGGGGTGGTTGTACAACACCACTCTGCAATAAATTACAAGGAATCCATGCCAAAGCAGCCATATATTCAAACAATACCTAGTGCAACTGATAACTTCAGGCAAACAGGTACTCACTTTCATAATCTACAAAAAAGTCACTCCTGAAACACATTCGCCAAGTGTCTTACCAGACAGCTCCAACACGGATCCAGGACCTGTTTACATTGAGAGAGACAAAGCCCAAGCCCAGACGAACCAGGCAATTTGAGATGGAAAGACCCAACAAAGAAATTGCAAGACTCTCCTTCAAACACAGAGAAACAATGTCGAGGAACGCTGTGCCAAACCGAGTTAAAAATTCTGAGATCATCGATACATTTAAAAGCCATCTAAAATAAATTCATAAGGACATCAATCAGTTTACCTTTGAGAAGGAAAGCTCATCTTTTTTGACTAAGGACGAATGTTATCATTATTATTAAGAATTATATAGTTATTTCAATTCTTAGACACTAAATGAATCTAAACTTATATCTAGATATCTTAATTAATATAGTATTATTTATAGTATTATTTATTATTTATTTAAATATTGTAAAATGTTTATAATTTAGTATTAGGTAGATCCACGTCAGCTGCGCCTGCCTGACTCTTAACCTGTTATGTTATGTTATTTGCAGTAGGTCTCCTTTGGTCGATGTCGACCATGGATACTGCACCCTACCAGATCGTGGTGTTGCGACTAGAACAGCATTGTCTGTTGCTGGTAAGACCAATGCAAGAGTGGCAGTCTCTGTTGCGTAAAGTGAAAATGTAGTTGGTCGTGAGAGGGGGAGGGGGGGGGGTTGTCCGTGTCGCTGTGCCTTTCGCCTGGTTCTAAACTCCTACTCTACTTCTACTCTACTCTTCTCCTTACATGTCTTCAGCAGTTCCTTGAGCATGCAGCGCCAGCTGCTGCGGTTTGCTTCAGTGTCCTCCCACATCTCTGTATTGATATTCACAGCTTTCATGTCGCACTTGCAGATATCTTTATATCTCAGCTGGGGGCAACCTTGGAGTCTTTAGCCCGAAGCAAGTTGACCATAGAAGATGTCCTTGGGGATCCAACCGTCTTCCACATGGCGCACATGGCCAAGCCAGCGTAGTCTGCGTCGTCTAAGCAGCATGTACAGCACCGGCAAGAACCTGAGTGTTGGACACTTTGCCCCTCCAGCTGATGCCAAGGATGCGGTGAAGACATTGGATGTGGAAATTGTTCACCTTCTGCTCATGCTGTGAGGCTTTAGGGGACATCCGCTCTTCAGGAGGATGTTGAGGAGCCCGTTCCAGCTCACTAGGTCGAAGACCTTGGTTAGATCTATGAAGGCGATAAAGAGGGGCTTCTGCTGTTCCCTGCACTTCTCCTGTAGTTGGCGAAGGGAGAAGATCATGTCCACTGTAGAACGTTCTGCTCTAAAGCTGCATTGGGACTCTGGTTAGACACCTTCCGCCAGCTGTTGGAGACGCACTGACAGGACTCTGGCATACAGTTTGCACACGATGCTCAACAGGGAGTTGCATCTGTAGTTGTTGCAGTCGCTCCTGCTGCTTTTGTTTTTGTACAGGGTGACGATCTTGGCATCTCTCGTGTCTTGTGGAACACCACTTTCACTCCAACACTGGCAAAGGGTGTCGTGTACAGGCTGCAAAAAGGTGGTCTTGCAGTGCCTGATTAGGTCTAGGGGAGATGCCATCATTCTCAGGGGCTTCGCTGCAGGTTCTTCCAGTGTTGGTATAGCATCTAACTCCTCCATGATGGGCAGAGGTTCTATGACGTCCATTGCTGAGGTGACAACAACGTTCTCTCTGGAGTAGAGCTCTGAGAGGTTTTCCACTCATCTCTCCATCTGCTTGGCTTTGTCGATGATAACTTCTCCTCTACTGGTTTTCAGGGCCGCTGTTTTGCTCTGAGTTGGTGCATGAGCTACCTTGATGCCCTCGTAGATGTCTCTGATGCTGCCTGTTGCTGCTGTAGTGTGGATGTCGTTAATGAGCTCTTGTCAGTACTCGCTGGCACAACTTCTTGCTGTCTGTTGTACTTTGCTCCTGGCTGATATGAGTGCTTGACGTTTTTAAAAGAGCGTGGAAGACTTTTAATTGCTAGATACACAACTATTAACTTACTTAACTCAACCTAACCTACGTAACATGGACAACTGGATATATTTCTTCTGTTAGT